TATAAAAATAAACTCTTCTTTATCAAAATAGATAAAAGGTGTTTCTTTAGTCAAATCCGCGCTAAGAGAGGGGGGGGGCGGGGCAACATGTAGCGAGACCCCTTTCCTTTCTTATGACCCCCCGCCCGCCAACTACTTTTGTTTAATTCAAATGTTGTGTCACAGGTGTTACTTAGGTGCAAACTTTTGGTTAAATGCATGCACATTTTATTACATTGGCATGGTGTTTAGTATTTCAGTGCTGTCATTTTATAGTGACGGATATTATTTTTCTTTCCATGTTGTTGATATACTTCAGTCTTTTGTGTTAGCAATTGGTGGATCCTAGTAGTACCCCGTTTTTCCCACTTTGGATATCTTGCACTTAATTTTTTATCACAGGTAAATTTTATTTTTCTTTTGTTTCAACTCCATTTCCACGCATTAAAATACCCAAAACAAAAGAAAAAGAAAAATTACCTGAGATCAAGAATTAACTACAACAGATATTCCCTTTCCCATCAACTATTTTCCCTTAACCTTGGTTCCCCAATTATAATTTAGTACATCTATGAGATAAACTGTATTAACTCAAGCCACCAAAATATGCAAATCCCTTGGTATAACTGTGTTCTTGGGGTAAATAGGTTGACTGACCTCAGTGTATAAGCAGTTTGTTGCCTAGCTGTTCCAAATTCCTCTAAACTACAATAATCCTAACAACCACCCACACTCACACACACACACACTAGTCTTAAACAGAGATATTTATTAATTTGACACTCAAGTGTAATAAGAACTATGGGAATATTCCATTGACTAGAATCAAAGTGCCAGCTTGGTGGCTTCTACATGAAACTACTCATGCATTTCTCCCACCACTTTTTTTTCATAAAGGGTAGCTGTTTTCAAAATGTTCAGGGTTTATATGTATTTAAAGTTAATTTCTTATCTTTGAGGAAAAATATTCAGGTGCTTTCATTATACTCTCAGAGGCTTCACATGCATCACATTATCATTTGACTTGGTGTAACTTGTTTGTTTTCAGTCAGACTTCAAATTAGGCCATTTTTCATTCATATATTTTTTCATACATGTAAATCTGACATTTGTTATGTGCAATCGTCCACAGGCTTCATGCTTCTGTATATAACCGATGAACTATTTTGTAATTAACTTGTGATTACATGAGTGACACTTCTAGTGCCATGTCACGTCTATGCGAGGACACATTTTGTTATTAAAACATGTCGGTTTTAATTCGAAAAATCTATTTCAAAAAGTGGGGAGCGTTGGGGAGCGTTTATACCATGGCATAGAACAATCTTTGTAAAAACACTTAAGACTAGTTTCTGTCGTCAATGAGCACTATGATAGAAATTATAGCTCTCCAAACAACAGGTTCAAATTTCATGCTCGTAGAGGATGAATCTTTGTGCTCCGTGTTTTAGATTGTAATGAGGAATGTTGATTATTTTTCCTCACAGAAAAAGCCTAAATGAGTATAAGTTTATGTAATTGTGGATAACTTTCTCAGAAAAGAACTATGTCTATCGAAATATAAAGCATATAACCAGGGAAATTTCTCGACCTTCGCCGCCATCTTGAAAATTCTACATCCACAATGCATCGCAATCCCAGTGCGCACACCGCCTGAGGAGAACCGAAAGCAACAATGTAAACAAACTCTTGAGTCGCGCTTAGGTTGTTGCTTGCCCTCCTCGGACAAATTTATCGTATGAATACAGATTACATGGTGTATGATTACCACACCTCTGGAGGTAGAGAGCCACACTTTTAGCGGAAGAGCTTCGAAAAATATCGATGGCTGCCGCGGCAAACGTTTGTAATGTCAGCGTGCAAGAAACCATTCATGGTGAGTTGTTCATGTACAAGCTATATACAAACCTTTGCCATTTTGATTTTCGTTACATCCATTTGGGACTAAAGAACCACTTCGCACATGGAGTTATACGTTGAAAATAAGACCAAGGGAACCCGAAAAATCGAATAGAATTTTATTCGCGAAATTACGTAGACGGCGAAACCGCCTTTGCCATGTACAGTCAACCCTGTCTTAACGGACATCTCCCTGCTCTGAATGAACGTTTGATTACACAATAAGAAAATGATTCCACTTTTTTGACAATGTTCCAGTTTTAGCTGTTTTGCGTAAGTGAACCAGACGTGTATTCATTACGAATAAGTTCAGCTACGTTTTTTTTACTGGTGTCACGTTACCTCGACACTCTGTAAAAGATAATCAATAATATAACTGATCTAAACACATGTACACACACACGTGAAAGCAATCTTCGTGTTAAGTATAAGTAGAAAAGGCAACTAAGTCAATCTAGTAATTATTTAGTATTGTGATAAATCATGACTGAAGATCAAACGTTGATTTTTCGAGTGAGAAGCTCATGGCTAAATTCGATTTGGTTAGCCAAATTCAAATTAATATCTGTGCTGAAATTGCGCCGTTTCTCGTTTTTCCTCGATTTTGAAATACGTCCTATGGTAAAAACAAGAAGGCCTAAGCGAAAAATAAATTAATATACCGAGACGGAATCGTTGTTTTATTGATCTTCTTTCATGTAGTACACAAGGCATTTTTCTGAAAGTATTTATTTTTAAAACATCTGCAATGCAAGTAGTTCAAGACATTTCGGGGATTCCCCCAATGGTGACATAAATTTAGTTTCCAGTCTCCTGTGGGGTTGTTCCCGGTCGTCTTTAATCTAAAAATAAATAATCTTAATTAAATTTGATGGTATATTTTTAATTTTACATATGCGTCGCCTCGTTCACATTTTTACGCACTCCTTGCTCGGGTTGTAAAAGTTTATTACGGAGCTTTATCCAACCATGACGCAAATAACAGTGGAAGCGCAACAACACCTTTTACGGAGAACGCAAACAAACGATGAAAAATTTATCTTTCTCATTCTACTGCTGAACTTGGATGCAGTGCCAAAGATGACGTTTTGGTTGCCGTGGCTATCGTGGTAAACTGATCCACCGTTTGATTTTTGTTTTCTTTCTTTTTATTTTTTCTCTTACTCGTCCTGCCGTAAGGATCAGTTTACTGTTTTTTTTTTAATTTGATATTGGAGATTTTTCTGATCCAGGTCTACCCAAGATCCGCTGACCTCACTGTTTTGTTGCTGTGGTTTTACCTATATTTAATATTTTTTTTACTTACAATCCCTATTGTACATTTACTGCATGCGACGATAATTGCAAAGGTTGGGGCGAGCAACATTGTTAAATTTAGCATCTTCTGTCTATTTTATTTTCAAAAGCCCCTCATCCAACAACAAGTACACTCAGGGCAAGAAGAGCCCGCATCGAGATACTGCACCAATGCAGACAGCTGTCAGACGACATTCGTTTTAGCCAATCAAATGGATATCCTGTAAATCCGTGCGTGACACAGACTTCCTACCCCTTCCTGGTGGTGCAGTTTGTTGTCGCGGTCAAGGATGAAGAAACGAACGAAATCTGGGAATGTAACGCGACTCCAGACTTCCATCAAATTCTTATCACGGTAGGAAGCGAGTAAACAGATAGAGTTAACCCAAACAATTGTTCGAGTAACCGTTTATCGTTTATCAACCGTTTATCTACTGTCTGGTTGTACTGTCCTCATTTACCAGATATGTTAATTGCTCAATACTGAGCATTTGGAGCTGTTTCAAAGTGTAGCGACGAAGTCTTCAAAGTATCTTTAATATGTTTGGCGTATCCTTGTCGACCATGATAATTTGAGCGATTTTGTGTCCGCCTATTGCAAAATATTTGAATCACTCAAACTTTCATTTTGGAGCCAAAAGAACGGAAATCCAGAACGTTAAGATACTTCCACGTTTCTTTAGTATTCATACAAATTTTACGCTATTGTTTATGGGTATACAGAAAGTGAAGCTCGCACTGATATAGAAGCGACCATGACATGAACTGTTAAAAACAAGCATGGTCTTTTCGGATGCGTCACTACTTTGGACCTTCCAATTAATCCTCCCCTCCCCTGCCCTCCCTGTCGCCGTCTCACTTCCTGTACGATCCCTCGTGTAAGTTGTTTGCAAACGCCAAGATTTACTATGCTTTGTAGGTAGCGCGCTGAGCCAGAAGTCTTAATTTCTATTTTATTTTGAAAGTGTTCGCCGCACTCAAAACCGACAGCTGACCTGTCACCTCTCGCTTGCTCAAAGGTGACCCTTGATACATTTTATTGCTTCTTATATAGTCACACTAACCTCCCAAAGAAAGTAGCCAATTATAAATTTTTCAAGTCTCCATTGTCTCGCAATTCCCAGAAGAGACCAGATATGTGGGTCTTCACGCTCGTTCGTAACAACAAAAAGTCAAAAGGGAAGTGTATTTGACAACTAGTAGATATGAATTTCCTTTTTTAAAAATTTGAATTCTTTCTTTCTTCTGTTTTACAGAGGGATAGAATGTTCAGGATTGCACCGGAAGTAAGTGAACCTTGCTGCTTTGTGTTGTCTCAAAGCGTTGACTGCAGAAAAAAGCCTCTTCCGCCATATGCTGGAAATCTAGTATTTATGTTGCCAGTGAGGCATGAGATGCCTTCTCACTACGCTGTTAGAATCAAGCTGTGCAAAGGAGTAGACCCTCGTGATTGCCAAGGTACCTTTACGCAACCAGATAGTTACTTTATATTAATCAGCGGTCAAGAACCCAAGGAGTACTAACTAAAATCTTGTAAACCATTTCAACAAGCCAGCTTTCCTTTTAGAATAACACAGTGCGCTAACAGCACTAGCCGAACTTTACCAGAGGAGGAGCTTAGAGCCAACTAAGAATAAGGGAGTTCCTGAAAACCACTAGGAGCGTAATTTCTCCTGTGTTCAGACCTCAGGCGCACTACCAGATTGTTGGGCTGTTTGACATGTGTGCTCAATACACCAGCCCACGAAATTTGGATGGTTTTAAAGTAAATCCTACCAGTGAAAAGGGCTACAAGTTTAAGATACGTAAGTTTCAAAGGCTGCTTACTGTATCATATGTACCAGCTGCAATAACATTTTTTTGTTCTTTCTCTAGTTTTGGATGAGCTTCAGTTCCTCATTGAATCACACAAAAGAGGCTCCAAACTGTACGACTTTCAGAGCGGAAGAACAATCACAGAAGTGGAAAAGCCAGTGCCCAAAATTCAGATGCAAGGTATACGGCAGTCCCCTTTGTTGGCTTTTGTTACCCCCGACTTTACCGGAAGGCACAAGATCGCATCGACTGAAACCAGGGGTTTGGTTGTAGGGTTTGGTGTAGTCTTTCTTCTCGGAAACCTCGTTACTAAAACAACCATGTATCACTACTATTCAAATTTTGGAACATGTACTGTAGTCTTGAACACAGAGTAGCTTGAGGAGCGCAGAACATTAAGGGAAGGAAAGTTTCCAGCGTGACCCTCGTATCCAACCCTTTCTCGATCCGAAGATGTGTGAATTACCCCACACCTACCCCACCCCCCTCCCTCACTTCCCCGTAAAAAATGATATAATACAGTACTTCAACAAAAATATTGTTCGAATTAGGTGTTCTCGCTGGCGAAATGGGCAAAGCCATCAGGATGCACTTTCAAAACCTCGGCGATAACGGTTTGTATAAACTATTTTAAACTTGTTTTGCGTATTCAGTCCGGGGAAGGCGATTATCTTGGGACCAATATATCTCACGAACTTTGGTCAGGAAAAGTAGACGTGTTTGAAACACTTGTAATAAAAAAAACTACTGAGATCAGAATAGGTGAAATACCGAAAGGGATCTCCCCTGTGCGCTATGTACTACAATGCTTTGTATTACGATCATGCTAGTTTTCTGGAAATAAAGAAAAACATCGATGACATTTCATAGGTGAGTACAATCAGTTCCTGAGAGATCAAGGCAAACTTGTTGCGCGGGTAAACGGGAAAGTCAAGTATCAGGATCTCCTGTCAGCTGTTTTACTTGAGGTAAGAGAATGAATCGAGGCAATGGATGATTTTAATCAAACCTGGCTTTTATCAGAGGATTTGGTTTACTTGGATATCAAATGAGTATTTGGTGCCTCTCGGTGTTTGGATATCAGATGAAACACTCATTCTCGTGTTTGATTTTCTCGATGTTTTGATATCAAATGAAACACTCTTAGTCGTGTTTGATATACCACTTTCCATTATCTGGATAACAGATAAAACTTTCCTTCTCTTATTTGATATATTACTACTCGTTGTTCGGATATCAGATGAAACATTCATTTACGTGTTTGATTTATTTCTTCTCGGTGTTTGGATATCAAATGAAACACTCCTTTTCGTGTTTGATATAATACTTCTCGGTGTTTGGATATCAAATGAAACACTCCTTTTCGTGTTTGATTTAACCATACTCGGGGTTTGGATATCCGACGAAACACTCATTTTCGTGTTTGATATAATACTCCTGGATGTTTGGATATCAAATGAAACACTCCTTAGCGCGTGTAATACACTGATAATTCTCGGGGTTTTATCAAATGAGTATTGGGCGCTTCTCGGTGTTTAGAGATCAAATAAAACACTCCTACTCGTGTTTGATAGATTACTTCGAGGTCTATGGATATCAGGATGTAACACCTGTTCTCGTGTTTAATAGATAACTTGATATGTACATCATGTTATTTTCTTTCCTGAAGGACGCAATCGTAGATTTTGGGCAAAACAAAATGGATGATTGTCTGGCGAAGTGTTGGGAGGTCCAAGCTCAAGCAATGCGTCATAATTCAGGAAACTGGCCGTTTCTTTTGACGAAAGCGTTTTACATAATCTCTGCTGTGTACCGGAAGGCAAAAGAATTCGACAAAGCTGACGAATATATGGAAAGATCCTCTGAGGTAATTACCTTAAGAATTAAGTTGATTTATGGAAAAGCGTTTGAAAAGTTTGTTTTTCTTGTAAAAGAAATTTTTCAGTTTAATACCCGGATAACACCATTAAATAGTCGCACCCAGTAGTTCGCGAAACCTTGTATGAGGTTTGGAACCAAAAGTGAACTGTCCGTAACGGAGAGGTGTCGGCGTGTCCGCATTATGAAGATGTCCATATTAAGAACTGTTTGGACCCAGGACTGTGCTTTATTTTGGCGAATCAAGCCGAGCCCAAAAAGGCTGAAGACATAACAAGCCGAGTCCCTACCCCTCTGCTTCTATGTCCAGAAATGCAGGCCAAGAAGATGAGCGTACCTTGTTATTGTAGTCATAAAGTTTCCCCACGAAAATTTTTGTCATATTCGAAGTGATATGAAAAAGGGGTTGGCAATTAAGATCCCACGAGTCTTCTGTAGCTCAATGGTAGAGCATCTGGACTATTAATTAACCAGGTCGTGGGTACAGCTCCTGTTGGGAGTACTCGGATTTTTACGTTCGAGCCCGTGTTACTGACTGAAATAACATCTTTGTCGGGGTTGGTATTTCTTTAAAAATCACTGTCCTTTTGATTTGTCTCAAGTGTTTGGAGCCTGCTTTTTTGAGTGAGGAAACCTCTGTAAACAGATACAACGCGGCTGCCCTAATTGTGGAAAAATCAACTACACGCGACCTGACACCTGAAGAAGAACTGGAAGTGGAGAGACTCTTTGAAGAGGTGGCGGGAATTTGGTCGCAGCAGAGAGAGAACGAAACACTGAGATGCGTGATAAGGAGCTACAACAGAATGATCACTTATTTTTTGAACACATCTCACTCGGCGTTTCCAGATCTGAGGTTCGTTCCGTTGAACTATCATTAAAAAACACCTCGCTTTAATATATCGTTTTATAAATTCCCGCCCTCATAATAAATGCTCTCCCTGTCTCCAATAGCCTGTTCTAGGCTCCAAGATAGTGGGGAAAGAGGATCGGAAAAAAATCCGCGTGAGGACTGTGAGATTTTGGCACAGGCCTAGTCTCCAACATATCCTTGGCTTGAGCGAAGCGTGCAACGTTCAGTCCAAAGATTGACGAATTCAAGGATGCACTGACCTGAAACGAACGTTTTTTCTCTTTGTAGGAAACTTGTCACTGAGACGAAGCTTGCGAAAGCTGATGAAGCCATTCAAAAGTTCGAAAAAAACTTACTTCCTCATTCTCCCAAGAGGTTGGAAGCCAAATTCCTCATCGGTAAAGCCGACTACTACATTCGTCGAGCTACTAGGAAGAGAATAGATATAACGCAACATCAGCGAGCTACTGATTTTCAGACAGGTACATTAAACATTTATTTCGCTGTTATGGACTGTAAAGGCAAAACCGTGTACTCCTTAGAATAAGTGCTTGAGTAGCCCTGCTTTAATGAAGTGGATTAAGACTGCATGTACAGTTCAAAGGATAAAACCACTACCTTGTCAGTTAAATATAATAAGAAGCCCTTGACTGGATCTACAGATCCAATGAAATTAACGCTTAATAGATTTTCACAGTGCGTAGGTTTCAAAAGTTGATTGAGAAGTACTCGATCTACAGATAGTGAGATTTTCCACGGAATCAATCTCCTCTTGATCACTTCATATTTTATTTTTTCATCTATAGCCACCACTGTCCTTGAAGAAGCAATGCGAATATCTCAGCAACTCAGAATGCAGAAGGAGATAGATGGGATACGAGACCGAAATGAAACCATTCAAAATCTCACTCGGAATGGTTTAGATTGGCTCAATGAGCGACCACCACAGAACCCGCCACCTCCCCGTGACCCTCGGGAAGTGAACACCAATGATCTGGATGATTTACTACAGAACATGTTCATTCAAGAAAACGAATAAGACGGGTTATCGTTTGAGTAGAATAGTGACAAAAGCCGGTAAATGATGTAAGGGGAATTTCTCGTGCGCTTAATGTTCGAGAGCTACGCTCGATGAGCGTATAGACCATGGAAATGAGAGGCTAGTGGCACAATTTTTTTCCCTCTTTCTTACGCGCGAGATTTCCGAGAAGCTTCATCGGAAATTGATGTTGAAAACTCTGCAGTGAAACCACACTCGCCTGCGACTCGTGGTTTCCCTTCGAGTTTTGACGTCATTTCTTTGATCGATAAGAGTATAGACCATGGAACATTATCGACGATTTATTAATTCGAATTAGAAGGTCTTTAATTAAGTGAAAGATTATGGATTTTATTGAGTGTATGTAATATTCATTCCGAACAATGGAATTCTGGGAAGATGACAATATATTTGTTTATAGTCTGGACTGTTTATGTTAAATATTTTCCTTCCCAGAAAACCGTTGATTTGTACACCGTTTTTCTCGTGGCAACTGTGGCTTTTTTAGCCATAGGTTACTAAACAGATTTATTTTGTTAAATATTGTCGATGGTATAATTAGACGGGCATACAATATTAAGAATTTTTTCAGTTTTTTTTTAGTTTTTTGAAACAAAGTGTGAGGTGCTTGTATAAAAAAGTCTTTATTGCAAGAATTTTGCCCAGTTTAAAATTCTTGGCTGAGAGGCAAGATATATAAATCGTTGGTGTGATGTCTAACGACCTTACATTAGTAATGTAGATATATAATTATCGTTAATATGTCTGTTATATCACAGTAACACACAAACGTTGTTTGGTTAGCAAAATCTAAAAAGTCAAGTAACGAATTGTTAAACGACGCGAAGCCAGAGGCTTTTAACCATCTACAGAGGTGTTTGAATACCAATGTGACACTCTAACGAGTGTTTGACTGTACCGTCTCGGACCACGCAGAAATAACACAATAATTCTCTAGAGAATTTTAAGTCAAACGTTTGCGAAGTTGTTTTGTAACAAGTAACAAGTAAGCAAAAAAAGGTCACGGTTAGTAACCGTTTTCCTTTTTCTGTTGGCGATTTAATAAATAAATGAATAAATAGATAAATAGGCGCGTGCGTACAAACATTATTTAAGTTTATTTATAATGTTTGTTATTGATACTCGTTAATAATGCTTGCACATATCTGTGTTTTTCGTAAGAAGAGGTGTGATACGCGTTATAGACTAGTATTTAAACGCATTATTTATGCATTGCTGTAAGTTATAGCAAGGTAAATTAATGGCTCATTAACACGTATCGCCCTTTTCTTTTCTTTTTTTTTAAAAAAGATGCATTTTGTTTGGTCACAACCACAGTAAGGCAGGAGTGTACCCAAGGGAGGGTTCATGGGGTTTCCAGAACCTCATCCCTACCCCCTTGTCTATGTATAGTAAGCGAGAGTCATCCGTTTATCTCATGATTATTCAATGTAACCAGGACTTCGACATCGATGCTTTCTATAACATGTTTCGCCCAAAAACACCCGCGAAGCTTGCTGCACGTTGACGTTATGTTGAGAATTGGCAATCAATGGGTAAGCATCAAGAAAGTGTTCTTCTTAATGTGGCGTGCACATGTCCTCTGAATTGCTAAATTTATAATTTTATACTTTCTTGACTCATAATTTCAGACGCCATGGACGAGTTAGAACTGAAACCACCCCCTGTGAGTCTGGGTAGGCCCGGGCGTTCGCGTATTTCCTGTTCAGCCAAACATACAGTACTTGATATTATGTTTTCGTTTGAAAACACCTCCAACTTAATGTGGATGTGGCCTGTATGTACTTCACAAAGCGCTACCCTTTTGTCGCCAAGGGTTGATTATGCATAAATAGCGCCAATCGTAGTAAAATTTAGAAGTCTCTGTGGTAAAATACTGTGGTGTGTCCTTTTAAGTGAAACCTTTTTGGAGGCACTTTTTAACATCATAAACATGTGGTATTTCTCTTGAAGTTTGACTTTGGCTACAGATGGGCATCGTTTTTGAAAGAATCCATTTTGCATTGTGAGGGGTATTTTATATCAGATGTATACATATCTAGTAAAGCATTTCAAGATATCTATCTCTTTTACAAGCAACGTTTGTTGGGGCTTGATAATTTTAGAATTTCAATTTAAGACTAAATGCACTAAGAAAATAAAGTTATGTAGTTCCAAACTATTTTGTTCCATATAATGTATTTTGCACAAATTCTTAATAAAACTGTAACTTACCATCTCGTCCTAGCTATGCTGTGTGTATTCCCTGACTCATTTCCAATTCTCCCATGAGGTGCTATGTGGTGGTATATCTTTCATCTTTTACTATGGACTAAATTGAAATAAATATATCATGGAATTAAAGCTACTGAGTAATAATTCCTTGTGCTGTTTGCCATGTTGCGGTGAAAGTTAGTGCTAACTTTTAACTCAAAGATGAAATGTTCATTCCTTTTCTCGTTGCAAAAATCATTTTACAACAAAAAAGCAAATCTGGATCAGTTTCCTTTAACTTTCTGTTTAACCCTTGAAGCCCTAAGAATGATCAGCATCAAATTTCTCCTTGTAATATCAATGCTTTGTAAAACAGAGTGGTCATGAGAATTACGGACATGATCACACAAGATGTATTTGCTTGATATTTTATCAATTTCCCCCCACTACTTCTGTAGGAAATGAATAGGGGCTACAAATGAGAATTCAAATTTTGATCTTAGGGGGTTAAAGGGTTAAACTGCTATTGGCACAGCAGAAAGGATCAAGTAAGATGACGGATGATGACGGATGCGAAGTTGAAAACTGGGACGAAAAGCCATTTTTTTTAATGCCACATGTAATTTCAGTACAAGGGGTAGAAACTGTTAGTCTTCACATTTTATGATTAACACACAAATCTATTTAGCGATTAAGATGTCTAAGTTTTTTTGGCTTTGTTTTTCATTTACCCATTTCCGACAGAAGCCTCGGAATAACTGATTAGCTAAATATAGCATAATCTAATTACAATATCTACTCAAAACATTTCTCGTTAATTCATAACATTGGGAGCAGCTCCAAATGCATTGAGGTTTATTGCGCAGTATAGCTAAGAACCACATACGCCAAAATATCAAACCTCGTATTGTAACTAATACCTTTTAAATTTATACTTATTTAAACTTTTATGTCTAAAAACATAACATCATGACATATGCAGAGTACTAATTGAAAACATGGTATTAGTTGAAATACCACTAACTCTCCTTTAACCATAACAACTTGGCTGTATCTTAAGATCTGTCTCAACTGAAAATATGTTTGTCAAATATAAAGGCCATTAAAAATATAGGTAGGGTACTTTATTTACTATGTCGGAAGTCACGCTTAGACAATCAGTTAGATTGCCGAACACGTGTAGAAGGCAAACCACGGATTTGGAGCAATCGAGGGTTGTTTAAGAATGTTTTTATAGGTTCGAAGGGGCTCCGCCCCAATAGGGTTAGTAGAATTTTGGTTATATATTTCTAGACATAATAAACAAGCAAGCCTGTTTTTATTCAATGAGAATGATTTTCTTTTTCTGCTAGTGAGAAAAGCAAATGGAGTCAGAGTTCTTCCAACTGAAGTCGAACGGAACATTTGACCTTTTGGGTACTAGTCAAGATTCCTTACGGCTGATCTACAGTAAACTCCTGGGCGCTTTTGCGAATGTATTGGGGCAACAAATGAGAATCTAGATTCTGGTATTAGAGTTTAAAGGGTTAACAGTGCATCATGCCATGTTGAATGTTAGAATCGTGTTAAACGAGAATGAGAAAGGCTCTACTGGGTTCATGCGTTCAACAAGTTGATTGTTGAACAACAAGAGCTGCGTTATTTCACTTCTTGAGCAACAAAGGTTGAGCCGCGTGTCACTGGCCACTTATGTCGTACCGCGTCATTTATTTTGTCAAGAAAAACAGACTTCCTGCATTCATCCTTAGTCGTAAGATGTCATTATCCTTGTATTTAGGGTATACATATTACTTAAAAAACAAGTAGACAGCCTGGATTCGATTAAAAAAATATCGAAGTCATC